GTGCTGATGTTGCTTTTCTATGTCCTTTCTAGTTTGGCCATTGCTTTCGTGGCTGTGGCAATCTGTGCAGATTTTTGTGTTGCAAATGCCAGTTTTGACAGGGTTGCTCCCAAGTATTTGAAGCAGGACATTTTGTTCAGGGGTTTGCCATCCATGTTGATACTGGTACTGATGTATTTATTATTCATTTTATTATAAAGTTTAAATACATTATATCAGCTAAGTTGAACTTAAATTTAACACAAGTGAATGTTAATTTACTTTGTTAAATTTAACATTTGTTTTTTATATGATAAAGTAAAAGAAGATAAAATTTTCACTTCTATAAAAGATGCATTTATAGTCTAACACCTAATCTCTAATGTATACTTTCTAAGATTTAATATAACTATTTTTTATTGTATTATTTTAACTAGTTTTGTTCAGTTTTTATATTATTAAACATTATTGTGTAAACTATATACAATTTGAAAAATTTTGAATTTCAACAAATCTGAAGTTCATGTGATAAAAAAATATTGAAATGTTGTTTCTGTGAATATGAAATCTGGAGAAATGTCCATCATTTGTAAAGATTTGTAAAAATTGTATAAAAAAAATGAATCATTTTAAAGTTAAAAAGAAGTGTCAAAAGTATGGAACAAAAACAGCAAGAATACAAAACAACTATGGAATTTTTTTTTTCTTTGAAAGGCAAAGAAAAATAATTTAATAAGTTAAAATCAATAATGAGTTGAGATACAGATAACCAAGTTACATTGATCCCAAGAAATGTTTGGAAATGTATAGGCAAACCAAAACCATCTGCAGCTATGTCAATTTGGTAGATCTTTGATAAGGGCTTTTTTGGGCTTTTTTGAAGCTACTTTCAAATTCAAAAGATTTGAATTAATATCCATCATTGGTGCACATTGTAAAAAGAAACATTGGCTTGTTGGAAATTATGTTAACAACATTTCTACAAGATTAATACTATGAAGGTGGATGAAATGGGCATGCTAAAAAAAACTATAAAGCTAATGGATCCTTTATACCCTGAAGCATGTAATTACCAATACTTTGTAATGGTGATTTAATGGCACCTTGAGAAACACAGAATTTGTGATAAAAAGTGTACATATTGATTTATTATTTGTGAAATAGCAGCTCCACAAAAAAGATTATGGTTAGAAACTTAATGGTCGGGATATTATGAAATGTGCAGGAATATATTAAAATATATGAATATCACAGAATATTCAGCATACTGTGATGAAAATAGTTTTATTGTCAAAATCTTTATTATTAAGAAGAAAGCTCAAGGTATTTTTTTACTCCTTTTTAGAATATTCAAAATTTTGATTAAAAATTTTGTTTTTCTTGCATCAACAGATGTACTATATTTTAGCATAGCAAATTTTATGGGTTTTTTGTGGTGAAAGACACATTTAATTTTGAAATTCTTTCAAAAATCAAATAATTGTTAGATTTTTATGAAATTTTCATGAATTATTCACAAATGAACTAAATTATTTTAGAAATGTTTTTATTAGAAAATCTTGGTACAAATATTGTTTTTTACTTGTGTTTCACCTGCTTATTTATTTTTATTTTTAGTGACTATATTACTTAAAAGTAGAATTCTTTGGAGAATTTCAATGCGTTCTTTTTTTTTTTTCTTTCATTTTGTAAAATTGGACCCCGTCTTATCAAAAAGTAAAAAAAATGCAATAAAACTAAGACATTATTTAATTAGAGATGCTTTTAATTGCTTTTATGAATATATATTAAGGATAAATTTTTTTTTTTTAATTTTGATTAGAAAAATTTATAATATTTTAAATAATTCAGTTTCAATGGTGTAACTCTTAGTAAAGATTGTTATTAAGTAAAACTATATTTACTATTTACTAATCATTGTAAAGCTTATTACAATCTGACATGCCCGAATATTTTTAAAAGAATTTTCAATTGTTTTTGTATCTGTAAAAACTGTCTGAATTTTATAAGATATGGTCACCTACTATTAGAAAATAAGAGCAGCATCTATCGTAAATTTAGATCCAAAATTCTCTAAAATTCAATAAAACATATTACAGTGAATATTTTCTTGAATTTTTAAGATAACTGAATACTTAAAAGGTGTTTGTATTATATTCTTCAAATTGTCATTGGCTCTATGGGGTCTTAAAAACCTGTTAACATAAATAAACAACCTACTGTTGGAATAAACAACCTACTGTTGGAAAATGCATTTCGGTGATATTTTAAACTTAAAAAAATAATAGTTGTTTTAAATTGGATTAATTATGCCTTAGATCAGCTAATATTCCTCAAGTAAAGTTTCAGAAGAGTATATTTTATTTTTGGAAGATTTTTTTAATAAAGAGATTTTCATTTTTATAACACTTTGCTAAAAAATTATGCTAAATTCAAAAATTTTAGAAATTTAAAAAAAAAAACAATTTCTTCCAATCAATTTAAATTAGTTTTGGAATATAGCATAGTATTTTGTTTATTGGAAATATTAAATTTAATCTATCAGCTTGAAATTAAAACAAAAATAAAAGCTTCAAGAAAGATTTTTCTATATTTAAAAATTCATTTTAAGTGTTAGGTACTGCATTTTCGTGGAGGGTTCTAGACCAAGCATACATCAGTAGAGTAAGATTTTTTTTAATATTAGTAGATTCATTTTTGCGGTAGCTTGAAGTAATTCTATTGTAAAACAAATTTTAAGAGTTATATTTTTTAAGAACAGGGTACCAAAAACCCTGATATCTGACAATGCTCCAGGATTTTGTGATTAGGAATTTGGATCATGGCTAAGAAAAATAGGATGTATACCTTACAAGTGGCTCTCTGTTACCCTCAAATGAATGGTATTAACAGAAAGAATAGTAAAGATGGGTTTAAAAGCATATGCTTAGCACATAGAGAAAATAGAAGTTTTTTTTTTTTACCAAGACTGCTTTTAAGCTACTGGCCTATGCCACATGCTGATAGACTAGAGATCCCATCACCCTTAAGGAAAAAGCAAATTAGCACTTCTTTAACTATGTCTTATTCCACATATGAGAGAATGTGGTATGAAAAGAATAAGTTGAATCTTGAAAGGGACAATTTTATAATGCAAAAAGGCAACAATATGGTCATTATAGCAAAAAATGGGAACATGAAGATCAGATAAGGCCCTGAGAAGATTATGAGGTAGAGAAAGACATCTTTCCATAGGCACTCCCAGGTTATGGTCTTTAGACCAACAACAAAACTTAGCCCTATTGAAGGAAAAATGAAGACATGGTTATGAATGATCAGAGGATTCTGAAAATTCTGATGAAGATGTAACAATGGAGGAAAAATGTGTGTACAACAGAGAACAAACAAGATTGAGATGATTTCAGTGAAGGAGAAAAGTAAAGCAAAAAAGTACTAAAAATGAATCACTGTATAGAAGAAGCATATGATCTACAAAGGATATAAAAAAGATCTATGTATCTGAGAGATATTTTGATATATTTTCATTGCCTGATTTGCATATCCAAAGAAAGGAACTATGAAAAGAGTACTAAACAAGGTTATGTTAGATACTGATTTATTTTTCTACAGCTTATCAACCCATTGCAGGTTATATAGTCAGAAAATATTTTTAGATTGTAAGTTTTTTTAGATAATAATGATTTAGTGATACAAGTCTTACTAATTAACTCATAGCTGCGGGGTAAAGTGGGTATTTGCATATAAGTGAATATGATGAACCCAACTGGAATTGGAACTGAGCTTTCCAATTAACAATTCTGAGACAATTATCCATTACACCACCTGCACATCCCAAGTGGTAACCCATCAAGATACTGATTGGGCATTAGGCTCAATGTTGCTTAGTTTCAGTGATCAAATGGGAACCAGTGTTTCAACATAATGTGACTATGCTTATATTAGGTATACTAAAATTTGTAAATACAGACAAACCTCTCATTTAAGGACCCCCCCACCCCCATCAACAGATTTTGGATGAAACGGACAAGATCTGCAGGCAAAATAAAAAAAAAAAAAAAAAAATCTGTAGGAAAAAAATAAACTTCTAAATCATCAGCGATGTATTTCGAAATTTGCGAGTTTAGCAGAACGAGTCATATTAGTTCTCAAAGTGACCACTTGGCGACAGTGGCAGACCTTTCAATTGTAAACAAAGATGGAAAGTACGATGATACATTAGCATGTGCATGAGAAAGTAGCTGTGAGAAATCTATTCTTTTTGTTATTTTGATTAATATACCTATATCAAGTATATATTTATTTATGCCATATATCCATGTTTATAGTATTTACATTATGATCATAACTACTGGTAGTTACTATAGTGGTTTTATAACTCAAAAATAATCCCTTCCTATCTACAGTTGGCTTTAACAGACTACCCCTTCCCCCTATTAGTCCGTTGCTGAGAGGTTTGTCTGTACTATGGAAACAGTTAAATTCTTGTGCTGTATTAAATTATCATTAGACTTAATTTGGAATTTTTCAATTTGTTCTTTTTAGTGTGCCTTTTGTAATTACGTTATTTTTAAAAAATTTTATTTTTTTCATACAATTATATGATCTATTAAAAGTAGCAGTAGAAAATATTTGGAAGTCTCATTTACAAATTCTATCTTGTTTAAATCTTTTCTTTTTCTATAATTTTAACCTATAAAAAAATGTATGGTTGATGTAATATTTTTCTTTCTTTTGACTGCAGGTTTATATGAAAGCAAAAGATGCTTGGTTCTACTGATGCAGAAAATTGCAATGGAGGCAATGTCAAAGTCGTAGTTAGAATTCGCCCACAAAATGAGAGAGAAAAAGATGAACGGTGTGTTGTAAATGCTGTCAGTAATCAAGTATTAGTGTTTGATCCAGCAGAGGATGTTTGTGAATTTAATGGACAAAAAAGTTCAGCCATTGTGAGAGGCGATATTACAAGACGACGATTCAAGAATTTAAATTTTGCCTTTGATTATGTTTTTGGTCCTGATTCCATGAATGTTGATTTGTATGAACATACCAGTAAGTCTATTCTGGATGGATTGCTCAATGGTTATAATTGTTCAGGTAAGACTTTTCACAGTTTCTCTAGTTATTTTTCCTGAGCAAAAGGAAAGTATAACAATTAATAATAATAGTTATGAAGTATTACTATTCCATATTCATAAGTACAACACACTATCACAGAACCTTTTTCAATTTTCACATAGGGAACAAGCAGAACAAAATTATATGAAATGGTTCTGAGATATATTTTTAGTTTTAACTTCACATTTAGGCTGGTATGCTCTTGACTTTTCAACAGGTATATTAAATAACCTTTGTAGTACATTCAGGTGGAAAGAGGTTTTAATATAAGAATTACCTGAAGCTTATCAGATGGAATGTACATGAAAGGAAGTGTGAAAAACATGATATAAAGCAGGTTTAAGATAACAATGAGGAGAAAAAGGGGAAGATTAGTTCAAATATGAAATATGACCACCCAATATCAATTTGTCTAATTATGTGCCCAAGTCACATCGAATATTTTTATTAAATATCAAACTATCATCCTTGAAAAGTGTTTCTCAGCTGCATAAATTATTACAATTTCATAAATAACAATTATCTTATGTTTCCTGAAGAAGAGATAATTAATAATTAGCAAGCCATATTTATTTAAATCAAGAAATAACACAAATTGTCAGTAAGATTATCATTTGTAGTTAAATGGTTTGAATAGTCTTAACTTTTCATCTTTGATCTAACTAAAAAAAAACAACTTTAAGCAGAGTGCACTTTCTCCCAACTTGTGTGTTCTTTTTTGGAGGTGGGAGATTTCTGATTAAGGAAAAAAATAAAGATAAAGTAAGCAAGCAGAAGAGTTTGTAAATCTTCACCTGATGATTGTTTTCCGTGTTTTGGTGATATTGAGATATTATGGCTGCCTTGGTGGGAAAACAAATACACTTAGTGAAATGGATAATCCAGCCTTCTACTTGGAAATGTTGTTACTTAATATGCTTAGTTTAACACATGCCCAAATGCACTAGCACACTTACTTACTGAGTCTATTTTGCATGCTATGATAGTTTTTCACCCACATATGTGCTTAAATTTGTACATATGGGCCCAGACAAATGTCCAACTGCAGTCATGTTTAGACTGCAACACTCTTAAACACAGTGATCAGACTACTGTAGATCAATAAGGGCAGAAGTAAACTTCAACTTAATTTTAGTCATGTTTTTTGGAAATATATCTGCTATATTCTTTTCAGGTAGGATGTATTTAAGTTGTACAACACCTTTTTGTGCTTCATACGTAATGTAGTGATATTTTATACTTCAATCTTTGATGTTGTACAGTTTTTCTTTTGCTAAAGTACCCTGATTGTCACAATATATGGTAACACGGTAAAATAAATTGGAATTTGTTACACTTCTAAGTAATTGAATTAAAGGCATGTATAAAAGTGGCTTCCCAGATTAAAGACAGAATGCAGGTTTGATTCCTGTTGGGAGGTACATTTTCTTTAGTTGGACCTTCAATTTCTATACTGGTAGACATTGACTCCACTGTTTAAAAAAAAAAAACAAAAAAAAAACAGGGATCTACCCTAACACATTTACTACTAAATATAACATTTATAGTAATAAGAAATAATGTTGGATTAAAAAGATTCATTAATTTCTTAAATACATTTAAACACAGGAAATTGTATCTTGAAGTGTATATCAAATATTTAATATGCATGCAAAATAATAATACATTTAAAAATTTGGTACATGTTTTTCTGGTGCAGTTTATTTCACTTTAACTGTTACACATAACATCACTTTGAACTGATTAAAATTCCAGCACTTTTAAAAAAATATTAGGATGTAGTCAACAAAATTCTGTTTACCACACTGAAAACATCCAGTTCATGATAATGACTGAGAGTGTCAAAAGTACTTGAACAAAACATTAACTTCAGACAGCTGATCCACAATTCTGAACCTGATGCACATCTTATTTGAAAACTGATAAAATGCAATAAAAAAAAAATGAAACCAGGTTGAATCTAACAAAACTTCTTTGGAGATATATATAAATAAATAAATAAATAAATATAAAAGTGAACATTGAAGTCAACACTGAGAGGTAACAGACTGTTTCATGCTAAACGCAATCATCAGGCCACATCTGTTGGGTTTTTTCTCAACTATATATACGGGTCAGTGGTGTATTGTGGGTAGTCTATTCTAATGGTTATTTTGACAGAAGTGGTTTGTTTATTTATTTATTTGGATTAATTTATTTTACTTGTTTTTTATTTATTTTTGTTTTATTCCTTTTGGTTTTCGCTTTTTTAGTAACAGTTTTTTGAGATGAGGTCTGATTGTTTATTTAGTAGTTTGTTTTGGTTTGGGGAGATAATTATAGCTATTTTTTGTCCAATTTTTGGATTGATTGTTATAGTTTATTCTAATGGTTATTTTGGCAGGAGTAGTTTGTTAATTTGTTAATTATTTGTTTGGATTAATTTATTTTACTTGTTTATTTTCTTATTTTTAATTTTTATTTATTCTTTTCAGTTTACAATTTTTAAGTAACATAGTAAAAATTTGTTTTCATTTTTACATTTTGAGATGAGTTCTGTTAGATTATTTAGTCATTTGTTTTAGTCTCAGCAGGTAATAATAGCTATTTTTTCCTCCAAGCAAAATTTGCAGTTATTGGATTGATCGTTGTAGGCTGATGTTCTTTTCCTTATTTTCCATGATATTTTTGGCGTGATTTGTGTTATGTTTTTAATTTCCCATATATACTTAGAAAGCATTGTGGTGTTTGCGTATTTACTATTTCTGAAAGATGTTTTGTGTGCATAGTTTCTTTGTTTCCAGGGTCTTCAATTACTTCTATGTATATTTTTTTTGTTCATTATCTGGTGATTTTACTGTGGCTTGCTATATTTCATTGTTTTGTAAGCAATTACCATTTAAGGGACATTCATTCTTTATTCTGCAGTTACGTGTGGGTTTAATTTGTACAGGTGGTTTGTTGATAGTTTTCCTGTTGTGCTTTTTTATTTGTGTCATGTTCTTGCTGCAACTGTAGCTGATTTTTACTATGTTTTTGTTGAATATTTTGTGGAGAGTGCTTGATTCCAGGAAGTGTTTGTGTAAGAGCTTAAGAATATTTTCCTACATTTGTTTTTATGTTTTTGCTGTACGATGGGTTGAACCATATGGTATTTCTCTTTCTGTTGGCTTTTTTTATGTTCTGTAGTGAGTATGAGTGTTGCCGGGAATCCACTATCTTTTAGGGCTGTTTCATAGTCTTTCTTAGCTTTGTTAAATATGGTTTCATTGGAAGAATTGTTGGAATGCCTGTGGTTAATTGATTTTGGCATCTGCTTGATTATAGATGGTGGGTGATTGGAAGATAAGTGTATATACAGTGGTTTATCATTGGGTTTTTTATATGGTTTATATGTACCTTTTCTTAGCTTGAAAATAACATCGAGAAAATCTAATTCATTTAGGTTAGTTTTTATATCTGTCAAATCCGTTATTTTTGAAAATCTTTATTATTGCTTTGCTAGTTTTGTTTGTTATAGTTTCTTAAGATTATACGATCATCATTCCTGTAGAGTCCTGTATCATTTCTATCTATTATTTTGCTTAGTTTGTGTAGTAAATATATACATATGATTTTGCAGGTCTCTGCACTGTCAAAGCTTCCCATTGTAGTGTCAAAGATCCCTACTTTCTTTATCCATGCGTCTTCATTGTTGAATAAAAGTGATTTACAGGAGTGTTTAATAATATCGATTTCATTTGTGCTTATTCTTATTTGTTCCTGGGCTAAGGTGATGGCCTTATCTACCATGGGTAGAATTCTTTTATGTCAAATTGTATAAATTGGCTGTTATGTTTGTTTTTTATGCTGTAGAACCAGTCTGTAGTTGCTTTTATGTTTTTCCACTGCTTTACTCCTAACTTCTTTCTTAGGTCTGAATTAATTCTTTGTAGTATCGTTTTACTTATTTTACCTAGTTAACTTTTGGTTGGGTTTATGAGTCTGCATGCTAGGCTGGTTTTGAAATTTTCTTTGTGGTCTTTTAGTGTGATAAAGGCTTGCACCTTACTGATGCAACTTATTTGGTCAACTAGGTCTAATTTTTGGGTGATTGCTTTAGCTTCCTTATTGATATTGTGTTCTATTGTTTTTGGTACTTTTTTTTGTATGTTTTAGTTATGTTGTCTTTGAGTAATTTAATGTGTGTATGGGGGGCTTAGTTCATATAAATTTATAGTTTTGTCTGCTGCAATAAATACATTTGTTGAATTGTTTATTTTAGTTATATCTTTTTTATTTATTTATTTTTTTTGAATGCATCTTGTTTTTTATGGAATTTTGTTTCTAAGATAGTCTTTCTCAAAGTCGTCTAATTCTTTTTGTTGTGGGGGACATTTTTTAGTTTTAAAGCCATATTTTTCTTAGACTGTAGTATTGTGAAGGGCCTGGTTTAAAAAGAAATGGGCTTTCTACCTTATTCTTTTTATGAAGCTTTCTGTTTTTTTAATTAATTTTAGCTTATATGTGTATGGAGATGGGGTGGGTATGTTTTTTAGGGAGTAGTTGAGGCTAAATTTTTCTATGTTCATAATGTGTTATAAATGTAGTGAAAGCACTTTACTGTTTATCTAGAGCTAAATATGAAGAAATCTAGTTTTAAGGTGTGCTATATTTATAGGATAAAGTGCTCAATATCAGAGATAGTGTATGTAAATGCAAAAGTGAACATTGAAGTCAACATTAAGGTGACAAACTGTTTCATGCTAAACGCAATCATCAGGCCACATGGGTTGGGTTTTTTCTTAACTATATATACGGGTCAGTGGTGCATTTTGGATAGTCTATTTTAATAGTTATTTTGGCAGGAGTGGTTTGTTTATTTGGATTAATTTATTTTACTTGTTTTTTTATTTATTGTTTTTGGTTTTTGATTTTTTAGTAACATAGTAAGAATTTTTTTTGAGATGAGTTCTGATCATTTATTTAATAGTTTGTTTTGGTCTGGGAAGCATAGCTAT